GCACCGCTAGCAGCAGCACTGTTAGCATCAGCACCGCCACAAGCAACACCACCACCGCTAGCAGCAGCAGCACCGCTAGCAGCAGCACCGCCACAAGCAGCATCAGCACCGCTAGCAGCAACAGCACCGCCAACAGCAGCATCAGCACCGCTAGCAGCATCAGCACTGTTAGCATCAGCACTGTTAGCATCAGCACCGCCACAAGCAGCACCACCACCGCTAGCAGCAGCAGCAACACCAACAGCACCGCTAGCAGCAGCACCGCCACAAGCAGCACCACCACTGCTAGCAGCAGCAGCACCGCCAACAGCAGCAGCACCGCTAGTAGCAGCACCGCCACAAGCAGCATCAGCACCGCTAGCAGCAGCAGCACCGCCAACAGCAGCATCAGCACCGCTAGCAGCAGCATCTGGAGTTTACCTGGAGAGAGTTCCGGGGGTCAACGCCCCCGCGGCCCGGTCTGAGACCAGGCCTCCTGGTGGATCAGAGCCTGATCAACCAGGCTGTTGCTGCTGGCTGCACGCAAACCAACATACGAGCCACAGCCCGGCTGATCCGGAACTGACATTAGGTGCTTGTCCAGTGCCAGCTTGAAGACTGCCAGGGGTCTGTTGGTAATCCCCCTTATGTGTGCTGGGAGGCAGTTGAACAGTCTCGGGCCCCTGACACTTATTGTATGGTCTCTTAACGTGCTAGTGACACCCCTGCTTTTCATTGGGGGGATGGTGCATCGTCTGCCAAGTCTTTTGCTTTCGTAATGAGTGATTTTCGTGTGCAAGTTCGGTACTAGTCCCTCTAGGATTTTCCAGTGTATATAATCATGTATCTCTCCCTCCTGCGTTCCAGGGAATACAGGTTTAGGAACCTCAAGCGCTCCCAATAATTGAGGTGTTTTATCTCCGTTATGCGCGCCGTGAAAGTTCTCTGTACATTTTCTAGGTCGGCAATTTCACCTGCCTTGAAAGGTGCTGTTAGTGTGCAGCAATATTCCAGCCTAGATAGAACAAGTGACCTGAAGAGTGTCATCATGGGCTTGGCCTCCCTAGTTTTGAAGGTTCTCATTATCCATCCTGTCATTTTTCTAGCAGATGCGATTGATACAATGTTATGGTCCTTGAAGGTGAGATCCTCCGACATGATCACTCCCAGGTCTTTGACGTTGGTGTTTCGCTCCAGTTTGTGGCCAGAATTTGTTTTGTACTCTGATGAAGATTTAATTTCCTCATGTTTACCATATCTGAGTAATTGAAATTTCTCATCGTTGAACTTCATATTGTTTTCTGCAGCCCACTGAAAGATTTGGTTGATGTCTGCCTGGAGCTTTGCAGTGTCTGCAATGGAAGACACTGTCATGCAGATTCGGGTGTCATCTGCAAAGGAAGACACGGTGCTGTGGCTGACATCCTTGTCTATGTCGGATATAAGGATGAGGAACAAGATGGGAGCGAGTACTGTGCCTTGTGGAACAGAGCTTTTCACCGTAGCTGCCTCGGACTTTACTCTCTTGACGACTACTCTCTGTTTTTCTGTTAGTGAGGAAATTATAGATCCATCGACCGACTTTTCCTGTTATTCCTTTAGCACGCATTTTGTGCGCTATTACGCCATGGTCACACTTGTCGAAGGCTTTTGCAAAGTCTGTATATATTACATCTGCATTCTTTTTGTCTTCTAGTGCATTTAGGACCTTGTCGTAGTGGTCCAATAGTTGAGACAGACAGGAGCGACCTGTTCTAAACCATGTTTTCCCTGGGTTGTGTAACTGATGGGTTTCTAGATGCGTGGTGATCTTGCTTCTTAGGACCCTTTCAAAGATTTTTATGATATGGGATGTTAGTGCTATTGGTCTGTAGTTCTTTGCTGTTGCTTTACTGCCCCCTTTGTGGAGTGGGGCTATGTCTGTTGTTTTTAGTAACTGTGGGACGACCCCCGTGTCCATGCTCCCTCTCCATAGGATGGAAAAGGCTCGTGATAGGGGCTTCTTGCAGTTCTTGATGAACACAGAGTTCCATGAGTCTGGCCCCGGGGCAGAGTGCATGGGCATGTCATTTATCGCCTGTTCGAAGTCATTTGGCGTCAGGATAACATCGGATAGGCTTGTGTTAATCAAATTTTGTGGCTCTCTCATAAAAAATTCATTTTGATCTTCGACTCTCAGTCTGGTTAGCAGCTTGCTAAAAACTGAGTCATATTGGGACTTGAGTAGCTCACTCATTTCCTTGCTGTCATCTGTGTAGGACCCATCTTGTTTAAGTAGGGGCCCAATACTGGACGTTGTTCTCGACTTTGATTTGGCATAAGAAACGAAATTCTTTGGGTTTCTTTCGATTTCATTTATGGCTTTTAGTTCTTCCCGCGATTCCTGACTCCTAAAGGATTCTTTTAGCTTAAGTTCGATGCTTGCTATTTCTCTGACCAGTGTCTCCCTACGCATTTCAGATATATTGACCTCTTTTAGCCGCTCTGTTATTCTTTTCCGTCGCCTGTAAAGGGAGCGCCTGTCTCTTTCTGTTTTACATCTACTCCTCCTTTTTCTTAGAGGAATAAGCCTTGTGCATACATCGAGTGCCACCGAGTTAATCTGTTCTAGGCATAAGTTGGGGTCTGTGTTGCTTAGTATATCTTCCCAGCTTATATCGGTTAGGACTTGGTTTACTTGGTCCCACTTTATGTTTTTGTTATTGAAGTTGAATTTGGTGAATGCTCCCTCGTGACTAATCTCATTATGTCGGTCTGGGGCTCCGCGCATACATGACTGAACCTCAATTATGTTGTGATCTGAGTATATTGTTTTTGATATGGTGATATTTCTTATCAGATCATCATTGTTAGTGAAGATGAGGTCTAGTGTATTCTCCAGTCTAGTAGGCTCTATTATTTGCTGGTTTAAATTGAATTTTGTGCAGAGATTTAAAAGCTCGCGTGAGTGTGAGTTTTCATCAGAGCTGCCTCCTGGTGTTATTACTGCAACAATATTATTTGCTATATTCCTCCATTTTAGGTGCCTTAAGTTGAAATCCCCCAGGAGCAAGATGTTGGGTGCAGGAGCTGGAAGGTTTTCCAGTGGTCAATTTTTAACAGCTGTTCCTGGAATTGCTGGGATGTTGCATCCGGAGGCTTGTAGACTATCACAATGACTAGGTTTTGGTTCTCGACCTTTACTGCTAAAACTTCCACTACATCATTTGAGGCATTTAGCAGTTCTGTGCAAACAAGTGACTCTGCAATGTACAGGCCAACCCCCCCCCCTTTTGCCTGTTCACTCTGTCACATCTGTATAGGTTGTAACCTGGGATCCATCAGCACTGTTAGCATCAGCACCGCTAGCAGCAGCATCAGCACTGTTAGCATCAGCACCGCTAGTAGCAGCATCAGCACTGTTAGCATCAGCACCGCTAGCAGCAGCATCAGCAATGCCACAAGCAGCATCAGCACCGCTAGCAGCAACAGCACCGCCAACAGCAGCATCAGCACCGCTAGCAGCATCAGCACTGTTAGCATCAGCACCGCCACAAGCAGCACCACCACCGCTAGCAGCAGCAGCAACACCAACAGCACCGCTAGCAGCAGCACCGCCACAAGCAGCACCACCACTGCTAGCAGCAGCAGCACCGCCAACAGCAGCAGCACCGCTAGTAGCAGCACCGCCACAAGCAGCATCAGCACCGCTAGCAGCAGCAGCACCGCCAACAGCAGCATCAGCACCGCTAGCAGCAGCATCAGCACTGTTAGCATCAGCACCGCTAGCAGCAGCATCAGCACTGTTAGCATCAGCACCGCTAGTAGCAGCATCAGCACTGTTAGCATCAGCACCGCTAGCAGCAGCATCAGCACCGCCACAAGCAGCATCAGCACCGCTAGCAGCAGCAGCACCGCCAACAGCAGCAGCAGCACCGCTAGCAGCAGCACTGTTAGCATCAGCACCGCTAGCAGCAGCACTGTTAGCATCAGCACCGCTAGCAGCAGCACTGTTAGCATCAGCACCGCTAGCAGCAGCACTGTTAGCATCAGCACCGCTAGCAGCAGCACTGTTAGCATCAGCACCGCTAGCAGCAGCACTGTTAGCATCAGCACCGCTAGCAGCAGCACTGTTAGCATCAGCACCGCTAGCAGCAGCACTGTTAGCATCAGCACCGCTAGCAGCAGCACTGTTAGCATCAGCACCGCTAGCAGCAGCACTGTTAGCATCAGCACCGCTAGCAGCAGCACTGTTAGCATCAGCACCGCTAGCAGCAGCACTGTTAGCATCAGCACCGCTAGCAGCAGCACTGTTAGCATCAGCACCGCTAGCAGCAGCACTGTTAGCATCAGCACCGCTAGCAGCAGCACTGTTAGCATCAGCACCGCTAGCAGCAGCACTGTTAGCATCAGCACCGCTAGCAGCAGCACTGTTAGCATCAGCACCGCTAGCAGCAGCACTGTTAGCATCAGCACCGCTAGCAGCAGCACTGTTAGCATCAGCACCGCTAGCAGCAGCATCAGCACTGTTAGCATCAGCACCGCTAGCAGCAGCATCAGCACTGTTAGCATCAGCACCGCCACAAGCAGCACCACCACCGCTAGCAGCACCGCCAACAGCAGCAGCAGCACCGCTAGCAGCAGCCGCAGTACTTCCCCTCCTCCGCCAGACGACATAGTACCCAACACTACACTGTACACATTCTCTCACTTCCTCTCTTTATTTCCACTTTTAAATTGAACAACATAAAACAATACAAGACAACATATAACACACTAACATACACTTAACATAACAAACATTATTTGTATTTATTTTGGTTGAATCAGGTGGTCAAATGTTTGTCAGAATCATAATGCCAACTTGATATCAGTATTATAAAATATACAATGAATTATTTTAAATAAGAGAGATAGAGAAATGCGTTAAATTAATTATACTAGGGTTTAAGATGGTAATAATAATTTAATAATGGAGTTTAATTTAATTTTGGATGTTAATTTGAGTGAGGTACAAGTTCGAGTGTATCGATCCGCGTTAAAAAGATTTAGCAGAGCTCACAGCTCGCGGTGACTCCTCTCTCTCATCTTACTCATATTTAACCTATATTAACCCACTTAACCCCCTTGTGAATAAAATTGGTGTGTCCCCCAGTGCGGTGTGTGCGTCGTGGTGGGCAGAGAGCGTGGAAAATGGTGCGTATATCGAGGAAATAAGATGGAGAAGAGATGAAGTGAGGGTGGTGGTAGGGGCGGCCTGGCAGACACACAGGTATATGGTGGTGAGTCTTGTGTCTGCTGGAAGCTGCTGCTGCTGCTGGTGAGCAGACATGCAGAAGGGGGAGAGGAGGGAGCGTGGTGGTGGTGGTGGAGGGGGTAAGGAGGACCAGGAGCCAGCCTCCAGGAGAGTATCAAGAGCCAGTACTGCTAACAGGACGGCCACCACCACCATGCAGCCTGGATCAAGAACCTCCTCCTCCTCTAACTCTCTAGAACTATTTGTTGGTCCAAACTTCAGAGTTGGCAAGAAAATTGGTTGTGGCAACTTTGGTGAACTCAGATTAGGTCAGTAATTTATACTTCTTATGTAACTTTTCTCTCTCCACCCTTATCTTACCTCTTATCCTTCTGATTTATCCTTATATCCTCGTAATTTATCCTTGTATCCTCGTAATTTATCCTTGTATCCGTAATTTATCCTTGTATCCTCGTAATTTATCCTTGTATCCTCGTAATTTATCCTTGTATCCTCGTAATTTATCCTTGTATCCTCGTAATTTATCCTTGTATCCTCGTAATTTATCCTTGTATCCTCGTAATTTATCCTTATATCCTCGTAATTTATCCTTGTATCCTCGTAATTTATCCTTATATCCTCGTAATTTATCCTTGTATCCTCGTAATTTATCCTTGTATCCTCGTAATTTATCCTTGTATCCTCGTAATTTATCCTTGTATCCTCGTAATTTATCCTCACATCCTTTTAATTTATCCTCATATCCTTGTAATTTATCCTCATATCCTTGTAATTTATCCTCATATCCTTGTAATTTATCCTCTATCCTTGTAATTTATCCTCATATCCTTGTAATTTATCCTCATATCCTTGTAATTTATCCTCATATCCTTGTAATTTATCCTCATATCCTTGTAATTTATCCTCATATCCTTGTAATTTATCCTCATATCCTTGTAATTTATCCTCATATCCTTGTAATTTATCCTCATATCCTTGTAATTTATCCTCATATCCTTGTAATTTATCCTCACTCAGCATATAAATTATCACCTCTAGGCCTGTTATACTTGACAAAGTTCAGGTTATACAATAACTCGACTAAATAACTTGTGTCTCGTTGCAATTATCTCGCCTCATATTCTGGTAATTTATCACCTCTAGGCTTACAATGGCAATAAGTCACTTTGACTTTTATGGATTATCCTTGATAATTTACACATGTTAAACTTTGTATGAGAATTGTACTTATGAGTACCTGTAGCCAAATAAACTTATTTAACTGGTGAGCTGTAGCCAAATAAACTTATTTAACTGGCGAGCTGTAGCCAAATAAACTTATTTAACTGGTGAGCTCAGATTAGGTGAGTTTGACTCAACTCTTTTATGTAATCTCAATCATAATACTTGACTCAGTAGGCTTATTTTGGCTTATATCTTAATTTATCACCTTTCTAGGCTTATAATATGTGACTGGAGATCTCAGATAAAGTCAGTCTAATTCCTGTGTAATCTGTCACAATGTTTGTTGTCTAACTTTGTTTCCTATAAAGTATGTTAATAATGTCAGCTATTCCTTAATTATTTGTGAATTGCAAGTATTTAGGTACAGGTACACATAAGTACAGTTACTTATACAAATTTTGGTTAGGTTAGGTTAGGTAAGGTTCGTCAGGAAACAGAGACAAATGTTTCCTGACGCGGGTCTTAGTCAGATGATGACCCGCCTTTGGAGCTTTTGGTCATCTGACCGAGGCCTTCCGCTGGCTTACCGGTCCACCCCTTAAAAAATTATGGTCATTTATAACCATTGTTATTTACAAATTTTGGTGACTACCATGATCATACATAGTAACATGTGTGTAAATTAACTAGGATAACCCAATAAAGTCAGTTAAAGCAACTTATTACCATTGAGTCCTTTTAATATCTTTTTAGAAATAGTTTAACATTTACCACTAAGATAAGCTCAGTGTAAGTTTCAGCTACTTTAAAGTAGCTTTACTTCAGTAAAGCTACTTTAAAGTAGCTTTACTTCAGTAAAGCTACTTTAAAGTAGCTTTACTTCAGTAAAGCTACTTTAAAGTAGCTTTACTTCAGTAAGGCTACTTTAAAGTAGCTTTACTTCAGTAAGGCTACTTTAAAGTAGCTGGTGTTAGTGAGGGACTTATGATCCAAGGAATTGGAACAAAGAATTGGACATTGTCTCCCTTAGTTTGAGTCTGAGTGTTTCCGTATCCCAGGTGATGTAATATCCATATGGGTTTAGTGCTCCCCCAGATAAATGTAATAAATAATGATAATTATAATCATTGAAAATGTTTAAAGATGGTCTGCACTTAAGAGGCTTAGTCTTGTTGTGTCATTCATATATTTGGCTTTTTTAAACTACTTGCTGGTTAAAACTTCATTTACTACCATTTTGTCTGTACCACCTAGTTTGTCATTAATTCTGATGAAGATACTAGAGCGCTAAATGAAGAGTTGGATAGGTTGATGCAGTGGTTGAAGAAGTGACATACAGTTTAGTATAGCAAGCTTTGAAAAAAAAATAACCATGGCACTTATAAACTGAATAAAGTAGATCTCGGTCACTGAACCAAAAAAGGTTTAGAAGTTCTGCTTTATGGTAATCAAAAGCCAAGAGGACAGTGCATACGTATTTACAATAAAGCTAATGTAATTCTTGGCTTCAAATCTAGAAGTATTAATGCTAGGCATCCTCAGATTATACTTCAACTTTATATAGCCTTGGTGCTGTGCAGTTGTGGTCTCTATATTACAGAATAGACAAAAATGTGTTGATAACAGAGAGAAGGATGACGAGGTGATCCCGTGTACCAGAAATCTTTCCTGCAAGGATAGACTAAGATTACTGAATCTGTTCTTTGGAAATGCATTTAATTGGGGGGGGGGGGAAATGATTGAGGTGCATAAATGGAAGACACACAAAAGGGTAAAGTAAAGTTAATTTCTTTGTAAAGGTTACAATGTGTAATCACAATTTTGATTTGCTAAGTACAAAGATAGCCACTATCATGCCCAGGTATTTGGGTAAATAACGTGTTAAAAATATCTAACCAAGGCGGGACTTGCAGCAGTGGGTTCAGGTTGGGAAAATTTAGATTCAGAAAGGATATGGGAAAGCATTGGTTTGGTAAGAGAGTTGTGAATGAGTGGAACAAACTCGTGATTAGCATCGTTGATACAAACACCTTGGGTAACTGTTAGAAAAGTACATGGGTGGGTGTGAGTTGGACTTGCCTATCATGGGTCAGTAGACCTGGTGCAGTGCTCCTTCATACATGTTCTTATAATAATTATGAGATTAGTACTATACATATGATTTTAAAAGCAATCTGTAAAACTTCTATGAAAAATATTACAAATGGTGCTTGTTTATTTCATCTGCAAATGGAGTATGTACAGATGATCTTGCCAACATTTCCATGGTGTTGGTTGAGGAATCTCGGATATTTTTCTACTCTCAAAATTTGTTGCTATGTAATTATAAATTTAATGAATTCATCAGCATGAATTTATCTAAAATAATCAAACTTAATCTAGCCTAACTCTAAATTGTTGGATATCACCGGGATATATTTGGTTATATGGTAAAAAAAAATTGTCAGTCATTCCTCACGCTCAGTATTATGCAGTTTAAATTAGATTTTCACTTCCAACAGAAGTGCACCATTTCCATTAAAGCATGCTGGAGCAGAAATCATTTCCACTGGTGGTGCACATTTTCATTAAGGATTAAGGAGCACAGGCAAGAGAGTCATCATTACACATTGGGCACCTCCATTGTTTAAGCAGTGCAGGGGAGGGTGTGAGGGACGATGTATGTGTGTAAACAAACAGCTTCCCACGTTGGTCAGTGTTTCTGGATATGTATGTACTGTAGGATTTTCACTCAGTGCTCGTCATTTGGTTCTTTCTTCCTTTCATCACCCCATCTCATCTCTGGATATTTATCATGGCATCCAAACAAAGTGCAAGTGATACTAGTGAAGCAAGGGCAAAAATAAGTGTGAAACTATGTCTATTTTGAAAAAAAATGGTTGTGCTTGAGATTCTTAAGGGTGGTGCATGAGTCAAGGAGACATCATTAGTGTTTGATATTAGAGAATCAACGATTTGTTCATTTCAAGATAATGAGAGACAGATAAAGGCTTGTACAATGAGTAATCCTCAATGTGACATTTTGAAAAGAATGAGGAATAGGTCATTATGTCAGTAGTGTGTCACCGATTACTTGTGTAGTATACATAGATAATCCCAGCTGTGTTATAGATAGGCTCCCTGGCTAGCTATGGCGTCACAAATCACACCGCAAACCACCTCCTCACTTCCACCCTAGGCATAGACTCGACAGGCAGACCTGGGCTTTTCTGCCTCCTTAGAACGTACACTACATGTGTATTCTTTCACCTATATCTCCTTGGAACCCCCACGACAATTACAACTAAATAAAACAGAAAAGGTAAAAAAATGTTTTGATTGGAAAACAAAGAAAGGTGTTTCATTTGATGATGACATTATTAGGAAGAAGCCTGATCATACTATACAACAGTATGTGAGGAGGAGGGATAGCCCAAAAACAGGCACACATTTAGTTCTGAATGTTTTAACCAGTTTAGAATACAAAATGGACTGTATATAAAACTGCAAGCTAAAACAAACCAGTGGTGTATGACAAAATACCTGAGCACTCCACTGCAACAATCTGTTAATGAAGCTGCATTAACATCACAAGATGTCCAACCTTCATCATTACACCACCAACCCCAGCCATCAGCCCCAGGCCCAGTAGGGCCACAGCCACCCTCCACTCTAGGATGTTAAGCATCACCAGTCCAACTTGATAGAAAGTAACATATACTGTACAGTACAATTAATGTAACCATTTTACAGCTACATGTACTCTTTTAACTGTCAGAATCTCATTAGAGTTCAGATATTTCACAGAGCATCCTTGACAAAATTAGGTAGACAGAAGTATTGTTTTCTTGAAAAATTATTGTACTAAGTTTATTTTGGTTTCTTTGAAGTTTGAGGAACATGACACTATTTTTTTCCATATGTTTTTAGTCCATAAGTTATGGAAATCATTGGTAGTGCAGTTTTCAGTAATGTAACCTGCGCAGATTATAAATGTCCACGGTATTTTAACAAGTCATTGAACCTGTTGCCTGGATAACTTGCCAATGCAGGTACAGGTACAATATCGATTTTCCGGACCTTTGGTTCCAAAGCCTTTCCGGATCGCTGCTTTTTCCACCTTTAGAGAGCGCAGTACTCCTTGGTCTTGGGGTTGGATAAGCGA